ACACACTGCTGTCTGTGATGAAGATAGGAGTTGAACCACAGAAGTGAGGACTAGTGATGGCAATATGAAGCCCCATGAAGTCTTGAGGGATCGCAGCCTATTACTCGGCCCATGAGTCGAAGGCTCGAGGTGAATCATGCTCCACTACGCCATCATGTGGACAAAAAAATACATAACACTCTTAAGTGCTTACAATGAATGGTGAGATCTAATGTTAAAATGTATATTTACAATCTATGGTCTAACGTGTTGTGTTTGAAATGATGCTTCATGAACTATGAACTATTTGAGTCTTTCAGTCAATTGTGTTGATACAACAAACACATCCAAAGTAATACAGTTCTACAGAAAGTGATTAATGGAGGAAAAACTACTAAGTGGTGGATTAATTAAACACAACAAACCATTTATTCCCAATAAATAAATACATTTACTTTGCAACACAAAATTTATTATGGGTAGACCAGGATTCGAACGCTATATCTTCTGCTTCGGAGTCCGTCATATAACGACTGCGCCACACAGCTGTTGTGAAATGTATTATCCAGCGTATTATTACTAATAACTTGAAGCCTTGATATATGAGGTTTTACTAAAGTGAAACGTTTTTAATTGTATTTCATATGAAGTAGTTTCTCTATACTTAGTACAGGACTGCTCCACATCACGCACACACACGTACGCACACAGAGGCAGACGGGGACAGCCAATACAGTCTATGGTACAGCCGCGGATCACAAAGCACCTGTCAAAGCAATGCACTCTCCGAACTATATGAAGCACTATATGAACCGTCACGTGGTGCGGGCGCTACGCGAGGCTTCGAACGTCACCACATACGTCACCAACACACGCCTCGAACCACGCTTCAAAAAATACGCCCCTTTTTTACTCGGTACACGCTTCGAAGACCCGGCACGCTCAGCACATCACTAGTGAGGACCTGTCCAGTAGTGATGTGCTGAGCGTGCCGGGTCTTCGAAGCGTGTACCGAGTAAAAAAGGGGCGTATTTTTTGAAGCGTGGTTCGAGGCGTGTGTTGGTGACGTATGTGGTGACGTTCGAAGCCTCGCGTAGCGGCCGCACCACGTGACGGTTCATATAGTGCTTCATATCGTTCGGAGAGTGCATTGCTTTGACAGGTGCTTTGTGATCCGCGGCTGTACCATAGACTGTATTGGCTGTCCCAGTCTGCCTCTGTGTGCGTACGTGTGTGCGTACGTGTGTGTGCGTGATGTGGAGCAGTCCTGTACTAAGTATAGAGAAACTACTTCATATGAAATACAATTAAAAACGTTTCACTTTAGTAAAACCTCATATATCAAGGCTTCAAGTTATTAGTAATAATACGCTGGATAATACATTTCACAACAGCTGTGTGGCGCAGTCGTTATATGACGGACTCCGAAGCAGAAGATATAGCGTTCGAATCCTGGTCTACCCATAATAAATTTTGTGTTGCAAAGTAAATGTATTTATTTATTGGGAATAAATGGTTTGTTGTGTTTAATTAATCCACCACTTAGTAGTTTTTCCTCCATTAATCACTTTCTGTAGAACTGTATTACTTTGGATGTGTTTGTTGTATCAACACAATTGACTGAAAGACTCAAATAGTTCATAGTTCATGAAGCATCATTTCAAACACAACACGTTAGACCATAGATTGTAAATATACATTTTAACATTAGATCTCACCATTCATTGTAAGCACTTAAGAGTGTTATGTATTTTTTTGTCCACATGATGGCGTAGTGGAGCATGATTCACCTCGAGCCTTCGACTCATGGGCCGAGTAATAGGCTGCGATCCCTCAAGACTTCATGGGGCTTCATATTGCCATCACTACTGTCCAGACCGACTGAGCGAAATTTGTCTAAAAGAAGATAGTGATCGACCATATCAAGAGCTTTTGTTAAATCAATAAATAAAGCACCAGTGATCATGTTATTGTCAAAACCAGAAAAAATATCATTTGTGAATTTTAATAACGCAGATGTGGTTGAAAAGTGTTTTCTAAATCCAGATTGAAACGGATAGAGGAGATTATTGGTTGATAGGTATTGAGACAGTTGATTAAACACAATTTTTTCATATACTTTGACAAAACTATTGATGATAGAGATGGGTCTGTAATTATTTTTATTGTTTGAGTCACCACCTTTGTGGATAGGGATGACCTTTGCACATTTCCAGGCGGAGGGAACTTCACACGATTGAAAGGATACATTTTCTGTTTAGCATTATTAGGATTTTGACTGTAGTTTGTTCATTGTATTCACCCGTTGTCCCATTGTCTGTTTCATGGTACGATGACAGGATCTCTGAGCCTGGCCTCCTCCATCTACACCTGCGGACTGCCCCGCCCGACCCGCTTGGGAGTGCTTCAGTCCTGCACCGGACCTGTCCACGTTCAGCGGCCACTGGTCCACGTTCTGAGGCTAGCTTAGGTCCTAGATCAGGGGTGTCAAACCGGTTCCAGAAAGGGCCGGTGTGGCTGCAGGTTTTAGTTCCAACTTGAGCAGGAGCACACCAGACTCCACCCATTTCCTCAAATCTTAAGGTGAAAAATGGTCTCACCTGAGGAAATGATGATCAGGACACTTTAACATTCTACAACATGTATGGACATTTTTTTTCTGTGTGTGCTTTATATTCTTCATGTGTTTTAACTGTTGATTCTCTGACCTGTGTTGGTGATTTCAATGGTTTTGTTAAGTCCTCTGAGATGACTTCTGTTGTGACTTAGGGCTATACAAGTATAAATTGTATTGTATTGTATTGTATTGTATAAATTCAAAAGATCTGCCAAAGGAAAACGAAGAACATGAGATGCAAGCTTAATGAATTTGGTCTCGATGCCGTCTGGACCAGCACTGCAATCAATTAATAAAGCTTCAGTAAGCAAATTATTGTCAAAACCAGAAATAATATCAATATAGACATCTTCAATACATTTGAATAATGCAGATGTGGTTGAGAATTTTTTTCAAAAATAAGAATGGAAGTATTTATTCCAAACTTATAACGTTCATACAACATAACAAAAACTGGATTCAAACAGACTAGTGTAGATGCAGGACATCTCGCCTTGCCAACAGCTTCCTCCACAAACTTATCAGTTTAAACAAAGCAGTTTGATGATCTTGCACTTGTATTTTTGTTGATCAATTTCACTATTGTTTCCTGCACTTTCAGCATGTTTAAATCCTGTACTTTTAGTTTGTTTTATTCCTGTACTTTCAAGATAAGATAAGATGAACCTTTATTCTTACCACTGTGGAGAAATTTCAATGTCATCATAGCACACATTAAAGCAGAATAAAAGGAGGAAATAAGAGCACTCAGGTTGCACACATCAAAAAGGATCTGTTATTTAAGATAACAAACAATAAAATCAAAATAATAACATGAGATAATAAAATAAAACGTTGGAGCTTATTTTTAGCTAAATTTACCCCTGTAACTTTTTGCTTGTTTTGCTGAATGGGGGGCATGGTGGTTGAGTGGATAGCACTCTCATATCTCAGCAAAAAGGTCCTAGGTTTGAATCCCGGTCCTTTCTGAATGGAGTTTGCATGTTCTCCCCGTGTCTTCTCCTGTTTCCTCCAAGTACCACAAACCACTCATTTATATATGTTTTAGAATCCATGTATATTTGTCCTCTGTCACATCTTTAGATAAGATTTTCCGGACTAGAGACGACCACCCTGACTCAGCCAATCAGCTCTCAGCCTAAAGCGTTCGTGAAGACACCATGCTGTGGTCAGACAAAAACATGTGTTGTCATTTTCCTTTCTGAACATTAGGTACCCCAGCTTTAAGCTTCCCATAGTTAGTTTAGACAAACTTTGCTCTGGTAGATTTCCATCGTGAATCTTCTAAGCTATAATTACATTAGACTGTAATCAAGAAAATATTATCTCCTTTTCAACACCTGCAACAGAAACATGTGTTCACAAAGTTAAACAACATCAACACAGAATAAAAAAACAAGCACCAATTTCTTTATCACTCATCATTATTAAAACAAATGATGCAGATGGTAACTGGAAAACTCGGAAGACAAAGATGAGAGATATTAAGGATCTCCCAGATAAGAAAAAAGAAAAAATGTATGTGGTAAGACTGAAGTTTGTTTTGCCAGAATGGTCGTGTTAAGTATATGTATATTTTCAAACATCAAACATCATGTAACATCAAAAAACAGTTTAAGCGTCACAAAACCTGTCGTCTGCTCAGTATAAAACCTTTCCTAATGTATGAAGAACTGGCAGTATTGTCTGGTATTTGTTTTGGCTTTAAAAGCAAAGACTGAACTATTTTTTTTTTTTTATATATATTGAGGCTGCATCTTACAACCCTTGTTTAATTCTTTGTAAGAAAAGTAGAAATTAGTGAGTGGTTCTCAGAGAGGGCGGTAGGATCCCCAAGGGGGAGGTAAGACCTAAAAGCTCTGTAACAATTTATGCTGCTGAAAGATCAAGGCTGTTTCACAACTGATGGAGCAGCCATCTTCCTGTGGACTCACCCCCTGCAGAGGATCAGCGAGGGACTGGTGCTATGAGCAATGGGTGGCAGCTCTCATTGCCACCCCCCCCGACCCAGGAATGGACTAATAAAGGGGTTGAAAAAAAAATAATGAATGAATGAATGAATGATATGGTGTTGCTGGCACCTAAATGATTGCCTACATCACAGAACATTCTCTGGTTCATTTTATAATTATAATAGATCCATTCTCCTGATTCGATACTTAATTCAATTGACATATTTGGGGGTTGCTGACTGAAGGTTTGAGAACCCCTGGCCTAGATTGGCCCCATCACATTGCACCGCTATATAATACATTCTTTACAAACATACAAAAACAATAGACAAGAGTTCATTTAATCTTTTATTGCAACAGGAAACAGATTTGTGTGTCTTACAGTTGCCAATGTGTCTGATAATTATAAATGGCACACGGATCCTCATATCACCAACAAAGAATATAAAAAATCAGAAGATCCATTTTTCTGTTCTGGCCTCGATAGATTTGACCAAACCGTTTCCAATAATCTTGAAATCCTCCAAAATTGCTTCAACATTGGGAATGGTTTTGACATCATCTCCATGAACTTCAACTGCTCGAGCTGCCATCTGTGATGTCTTAATGGGATTCACAAAAGTAAGATCAGTTTCAATCATTAATTGTAAAACTTTTTTTTGGGTTTTGTTTACCTTAAATGGCAATGGTGTGAAGGCCTTCGGTTTCCACAGAACAGCTACTACTGTCCCACCAAAAGGATCACAAAAGAATAGAGCCAGATCTCCAAATGTTTCCTACAGATAAAGGAATACATAAAATATTCTTTATTTATTAACAGTAAAGCTTGATTTACTGGTTTAATTTTGTGACACAGATGTGTTTATTCATCAATATGATCTAGTTGTAACCTGCAGCAAGTTTACAGTAAAGTGAGAGACCAAGGAAGTATCACCAGATGTGAATTCCTAGTGAACACCACAGTTTTCCCAAGATTTGCTTTTCCTTATACGATGACAAAACATAATTTCTTCCAGTGAATTTAGAAAACGACCTTCGCTACCTTTTAAATTGTTAAATTTAATTGAATGCAACTCAGTGCCCAGTGCTCAAACATAAGATATAGACTGAATGAAAAGGATTAATGAAATTGTTGGCATGCACTCTGCTAAACATGTCTAAACAGTCTTTACTTACTCGGAGTTCATTCAGGTAGATGGAGACTGGATTATAGTCAACCACAGGCATGAATCCTCCGGCCTGCCCCACAAAGCCCTCTGTGAAGCCCCTCACAAAGCCGACTGCAGACGGGTCCACGGCCTGGCTCAAGAGTGGAACCTGCTTTGGGTTGAGGAAAATCAAGACGTCGTAGGAATCCAGCGGGGGGCGCATGACCATCTGATGATGAGACGAAATTAATTAGTTATAAATCACTCGGTAACGGACTGCAAAGAGACTGCGTCACACTCACCCGTACATCCTGCGTCTCCTCCACGGACATTATCTGACGTTCCAGCACTCTCAGACTTTCTGCAGCGACCATTACTATACGATGAAGCATCTGAAGAAAAGACAAGATGCATGTAATATTTCTTAAAATGTAGAAAGATACGTTTGCCATTTCTGTAAGCAGGAAACCTATCAACTTAATTTAATTTTCATAAAACACAATCTAGTAGAATTACCTTTCAACATAGCCAGTTGTGTGTGTAAGGGGGTGTGTGTGTAAAGGGGACATTGAAACCTTCGCTGACGTCACAGTTCCTGCCTCTTGCCACTGATATAAAGGAGTTTCTCAAAGGAGCAGAGTTGAGCTGCTAAAAAAGGCCGAGGTGAGGACAGGAAGCAAATTTGGGTCAAATACAGACCATGACCATCTGGAGATTGCACCTTCTCTGCGCATTACTGTACACCACGGATGTCATTTGCCACAATGACCCTCAAACGGAAGATTACAAGATTAAATATTCAACTAATTTTGCAATGGCCGAAAACAATGAAAAGAAATTGGTGAGTCTTTAATTTAATCAAATATGAAATGCAGATTGCTTTGTTTACTTGATTTTAGTTGTGAAATTTGTTCAAATACATGTATTTGTAGATTAATGATTTACGTGAAGTGTTGAAACGACTACAAAATAATCATCCATCCCTGAGGAAAAAGCAAGGTTATCTACCCATGGTATGCGTTAGTAAAAATCACTACATTTTTATAATTGAGTTCCAGACGGGACTTCCTAAATGTTAAACTGAGGCCTTTTGTGTGTGTACAATTTGCAGTGTGAGCCAGGAGATCAGTGTGCGTTGCGAAAAGGCTCCAGGATTGGAAAACTCTGCGACTGCCCACTTCCTCGGACATGCAATTCTTTTTTTCACCGTTGTTTATAGCGTTAGATAAGTATATAATTGTTCTTTAGGATGTACTTTTTTTGTATTTTTATTGAGATTAATTAGAGAATGTTTGCACTTTCTCTTAGTTGCCTGTATTCTTACTTAGTTGAACAACACAAATGAAGGTTGGCACTGACCTGTACACTTGGTGCCTGCTTGGTCCACAAAGACATTTTTCTGTCGGTAGGTGTGGCTACGAACATGACGGGCAAGGTGTCTCTGGAGGCCATGAAGTCGTTCTTGATCTCAGTATAGTCGGCCACTTCACGCGACATAGACGCATAAAAGGAAAAGTTAGGAATAACAAACACAAGTATCAATCCGAACACAAAAAAAACGAGGTCAGTGTACACTTTTGTTAAGGGCTTGACTTAAAAAAATTTAATGGAGAATTGTTCTTGCCTGTGAGCTGGCTGTTAAGGTTTACAATCAGTGGGTTGTTCTTCCAATCAAAAGAAGCAAGCAGATGAAGGAAACGCAGGAAGCCCACCTGAGGAGAGCTGACAAGAGGCACAGCGTTATTTGTATTGTGACCTACTGAACAGACAAAAGAATGTAGAAAACATGTCTTTGAGTATACACGTGACTGATGAGATGGTCAGAAATTGAGAATTGCGTACATACATTTAAGAACTACATTCATAATCACCAAAGATTCCACTCCACCACTGAAAAAACCTACAATATCCAGTGCACACACAAACTATGATCCAAGAAAAGGATCTTTTAATTTTATATTGGAACAGTGAATCCTGTAGATCTCACAGAAACTAATATATTCAACAGAATAAATCCACAGAAAGAGTCTCGTTTACATAACCTTTTGTGAACAAATCAGACCACACCATTTAGTCTTCAACTTATAACATTTGATCTTTTACAAACTGAGAGCTCATGAACTGAGTGAGGGTTAGTCATCTCTTTTATACAGAAAAGGTGGATCAAAAATATTTGACAGGCCTGTAAAAACTAGTGATTCAACCAAACAGTTTAGAGAGCTAGAAAATGGTTACATGGATTTTATTACATAGTTCATATTTTGTGGTTTCAAATTCAGGTACTGTAATAGCATCTTTAAAAAATAGAGATAGTTTTGTGTATTCACCAGCCCGTGGCCTACATTTTGAAAGTAGCGATAGCCAAATCTGGTCAAGTTGCATACTCTTTTGTAAGATTAATGGTTTTGGACCTATAACCTAAACTAAACTACAGAGAGTAATTACCCAGGAGCAGTGAAGGGGGCTGGCTGAAGAAACAACCATGCAACCAGTAAGTCCGCTGTGTCATCAGTGATTTCACAACTAAAAAGTTGTGCACCGAGCCATCGTTTGGCCAGACGACACACCGTGCCAAAGCAAGCGTGTTGCTGCTGAATCCTGAAATGAAGGGAACATGTAAGAGCACAAACTTGTAAAATAACAAAATAAAACAATGGTTTACCCATGCAGCGTGCTTGTGAGAAGAGGCTTGTGTATGGTGGCCACTTCTAAAGCTTGAGCCTCATCAGTGTCTCTTACAACCAACATTCCTTCTGCATTGATACTTTCCCTCAACACCTGTGGTTCCCGATGATAAGCTATCTGGATGCGGAACAATAGACCATCCTGGGTGAACAAAGAAATTAAAGGGGCATGAATTGACAACGCACACTAAAATAACGTAAGCTCACAACGACCACATTTTTTAGACTTACCTTCCACACATCCAAATGACTGGGACAGGCTTGAAATGTATATTTATGATACTGCTTCAATAATTCTCCCATACGAATGTGAAATGCCGCTCGAATGTGTCGGATAGCGAGACGATCGTGAGGCCATTTTCCACTGCCCTCCATGTGACAGATAACTGTAAAATATATAGTTATAAGTGATTCAAATCTTAATTTTCTGGTTTTGATTAAAAAAATCAGTACCTCACCTGTAATAGGGGTTATGTAGGTTGGGCAAGGTTTTTCTTCTTTCGGTAGAAGAGAGCTGCATGACTTATTTAGATCAAAAAATGAATAATCCAATTTGGTGGCTTGTGGGGGGAAGACCTGCCAAAATGATCATACATTTCAGGATACAGCTATACAACTATACAACATCAAGACATGTTCAATACCTGTGTGTATCGGAGTGCTGGATGGGCTCCTTGCACTGATGTTATGGCCAAAGGCAAACCCTCTAGCCGCCATAACTTTCTACTCAAATCATCAAAGGACTGAACCACCAATAAACTCTCTTCCTCTCCAGTGCTGGGTACCTGGCAAAAAACGATCACCAGGAGAAAGTGAATTTTAGCATCCTTTAATAATATGAAATGGCACTCTCCTGTGGTGAACATGAAGTACTGCATTAACCTGAATATAACTTGTCAAAATGTATAACCTAAGTTCACATTGAATGTATATCAAGCACAAAATGGATGTTTAAAAAAGTATTATATGAATTCATCAAAACATAAAATATTTAATGTTTTTTACCTCACGGCGTATGTTGATGACATCATCAATCAGCGCGCCAACGTATCGAATAGAGGTTTCTGGGACATTCGCGTGCCTGTGTGAACATCGTTTTTTCATTTTTATATTTGGAACTACCTGTAAATGTTGTCACAATTCAATGGGAATAGTTTTACAAATATGACGATGCGTTGACTGTGGATCAATGTTCCCAAACGCATCTGGACACAGTCAGCTTTCCATGATGATGGGGCGTTCGGGAAGAAAGAGGAGCAGCTCTGTTTGGGACTGCTTTAAGCAGGTTGGAAACTATGTGCAATGCATGCGGTGTAATGCTACACTGAAGTATTGTGGCGGGGCAACAAGCACTATGATGCACCACATGAAGAAACACGCTGCAGCCCCCTTCACAGAACCGATCAACAGGGAGGAGGTGGACGAAAAGCCTATCATCTGCACTGTTGTCTCGACCGCAGATGAGGAAGAAGGCACATCCGGGCAAATTCTGTCCCAAGCCTTTTTGCAGTCTCCGAATCTCTCTAACGATCTACCCCAAAACATTGACAGAAAGCGTCTAAAGCGAAGTTCTGTTTGGGATGTTTTTATCAGATCAGGAGATGAAGTTTACTGCACCATGTGCGACACCAAACTGAAATATAAAAGTAGTACAACCAGCATGATATACCATATCAAAAACAAGCACTCAGAAGCGCTTCCTGCTCATGCAGAAGTGAACGATCTCATTTGTAAAATGATAGAGAAGGACCTGCTTCCTGTCAGTGTGGTTACTGGAGAAGGTTTTCGGGAACTTCTTACCTTTACAGTCCAGAATTTTAAAATGCCAACTCCCTTTGATATCACACGACTTATTGAGGGACGCTTCCATGAGAAAGTGGATGAACTCCAGATACAGTTGGTTAAAGTGGACAAAGTGGCAATAATTGCTGATTTTTGGACAGGTGTTCCATCACAGAAATATGTGACTGTTTCATGTTCATTCATTACTGAGGACTGGCAGGGAAGATGGGTTGTGTTGCAAACTGAGAAACTTCCCTCTGACAAAGGCATCACTGCAGAATGTGTCTCTGAGAGGCTTCTTAAAGTAGTTGAAGAGTGGGGCCTTGTTAAAAAGGTGACAGCGTGTGTTCAGAACTCGGTAGACGTCCTTCCAACACGCGACTGTGCCAAGATTACATGGGACTATGCTGCCTGCTTCGCCACAACCCTGCAGTTAGCAGTAAATGATGGCCTGTCAGAAGATCTGCTTGGTATCATCACAGCTGCAGGGAAACTTGTTCGACACTTTAACAATAATTCACTGGCAAATGAAGCTTTGGAGCAAAAACAACTTCAGATGTGTTTGCCTCAACTCAAGTTAATCCAGTCAAACAAAACCAGATGGGATACTATATGTGACATGTTTGAAAGTCTTCTGGAGCAGCGGTGGGCCATCAAAGCTGTACTCTCTGACCGAACTGTTTTTAACAGACAGGAAGCTCAAGCCCTTGAGATTGAGGATGACTATTGGCAAATTATTGAGAACTTTGCCACTGTGCTAGCAACATTAAAATGGGCAACAACAGCTATATCAGGAGAGGCGGAGGTATCCATTTCAAACATTTATCCAATAACCTTCAGCCTCATACAGGCCCATCTGGAGCCAAAGGAGAATGATGTTGAACAAGTAGTTTCATTTAAACTGGCCGTGCAGACATCACTAAGAAAACGTATGGAGGTAAGTGAAGTTTATGGCTAATTGAATCAAAAACATGCTTTTGCTTTTAATTCATATGATTTGTCTACAGGTTGACTCAACTGAGCTGGCATCTAAACCTGCCTTGATTTCTTCCATGCTTGACCCCCGTCACAAACACCTTAACTTCCTGTCTCCAACAGTAAGACTGGCTGCGAAGGTGAAACTGCATGAGCTTGTGTCAAAGTTGGATGTAAGAGGTGCCACAGTGACCCCCAATAAAGAAGAGCACAAAACTTATGACACACCCAGTACTTCTCAAGGACTAGCCTCAACTCAAATTAAAAGTGACAGGAAAAACACCATGATGTTGTTGCTAGGAGATAACTACAGTAGCCCAGACACCACAGACTGTGAGGCTCAAGTAGATTACTATTTGAGAGACATCGCCCCCTCTTTGGACATAAACCCTCTTAACTGGTGGAGAGCAAATGAACCACGCTTCCCAAAGTTGGCTATTTTGGCACGTCATTACTTATGTGTGCCTGGTGTTGCCTTGCCTTCATCAAATGAAGGTGGACAAACATTTTCAACAATGCGCGCAAGACTTGACCCTGAGCATGTGAATATGCTCATCTTTTTAAACAGAAATGTGACCCATTAACAGTTTTTATGAGTGGCAGCTACACAATATTGAAGTTATGCAAGAAATTAATATATTACTGGTTAATAAAATACTGTCATAACATATGTTTCTGTGTAAATACATACAGCTGTAGGATGTGTGTGACGATTTGTTTGGGGACCAGTCTTTTCTGACACATGGTCTCTCCATTCCACAAAACCGCTTCAGTGATCGCACCATCCTGGAACCGACGCAGCTCAGAGCGAGAACCCCAGAGCTGGCGAAACTCTAAAGCCTAAAACAGTGGAAAAAATATTCTTGTACAACTGCACAATTTTGCAAGTTGAGATCCAAGTAATACCACTAACCTTGGGGCTGTCTGCAGGTGGGCCTCTCTCTAGCACAGAGGCAGCGAGGTCTGGTTTTAGGAGCAGGCCAAAGGATAAAGGCGGCTGATCTTTGTACTTGGGTGCGTCATTCTGTATGGACCACTAGAATGGGAAACTAATTATTATTGTGCGATAATATAATAAATACTGAAAAGGTAGATTGCTCTCCAATGAACTACAGGCTATATGGCCAGTATTGCTTTTTGAATAAAAATAAGTAAAATAATTTGGATGTTTTTGTGTCAACAAAATAGAAAAAGATCTCACTAACTCATAGGACAAAAAGGTGAGTTTTGTCCTGGCCTTTTCCCTTCAGTTTGTTCGTCCATTTTTATGGAGCGTATTTTTATTTATTAATTATGAAGGGAACAACTCTTCCAGAAAAGTTACAAAATGTCTTTAACAAATAGAAATGATTGACATTCAAAGTCGATATACAATTTTAAGATGAATTATTAATTTTCATGAATTTAATAGTATGTTTCCAAAGCCATTTATATCGCCACACTAAAGTGACCTACCTCTGGGTCAGGGGCTCGAGAGTGAGTTAGAAGCATAATTCTTTGACCCAGTCCTTGCTGAATCAGTGATAAAATATAAGGAAGTGAAGCTTGAATGTAGTTTCCACTTAAGTCCATCAACTCATTAAGTAGGTTCAGCTTCTTACAGCTAGACTGCAGCTTTGCCAACGCGTGTAACCTGCAAAACAAGCATTTAACAATATGTAAATACTGTTCAAAATTGTTTGTTCTGGAATTACAATATACCGTAGCATATAAATAAACCTACTGAAAGACATGGTCACTTGTTCTTATCATTGGTTTTGGAGTCATGAGAAGACTTTGAAATCCATCTACAGTTGCATTATCCCAAAACTCCATTGAAACAGACGCTTCATGTTGAATCTAAGAGAAGGGCCATTTTTAAAGATTTTTTTCAGGGGACATTTTGATATTCTCTGATTAATATGATGTCAATACATGTTTGAAGGTACAAGCCGTCATGTCAGCACATAGGTTAAGATGACCTGACGGATCAACAAAGACAACTTGGAATGCCTTGTGGAATTCTTCAAGCGATGGCTACAGAGACATTTTAGTGTTATTCAGTGTATTGAATAATACTCCCCCCAGCTATAAACACTTACTGCTGTGGAATCTGTATTCTTTGAAAGGCTTATTCCATTTACTGATAGGTCTGTGGATGCTGTGAAAAGTTAAATGAAAACATTTTAAAGTAAAAAGTAGCTAACAAATAAAATGTATACTTATATACACAACGTATAGACACATTTATACTTTACCAAGAAAGTTCAAACTGTTTCGAAGCAACTGATAAGCAGTCATGCTGTTGCTGATTCTGTGAGTGGTCAGCAAATACGCCAGAAGCATAGAAGCCAAAAAGCCATTAAAGCATCCAGGGCCCTATATTTGAAGTAGGCAATTTACGTTTACATTGAATCATATAAAGAGATCGAAGTAGTACACACATACCTTGTCAAGTTCTCTTTGACGAAGCCAAACTTTAAGTAAGGCCACTGCATCTGAAAAAGCTGAACATTGAGATCGAACAGCAGACAGAAACTGTAGGTGGGCACTGGGAAGAAGGTCCCCAAGAATGGCGCTATTGTAATGTGGGGTTGGGTGCTCAATAGGTTCTGTGAAAACAAATAAATATAAGACATAACTATTGAATATAAACAAATCTAGAATTAAAAGCTATATTAGGAGGATTTTATACTTCCGGTTGGTTCTTAAATTGTCAAAAAATCTGATAATACATGCTCGTCAAAAAAGACCAGGGAGTTTTGTACAAAAAGTGGAGGGGGCGATTGTTTCCTAAAATTTGGGAAAATCCTTCTATATACCTTTAATTATATATTATGTTTCCAATTATTTGACATTATTACCAGACTGAGGGGTCCCAGTGTACCACTCGGTCCTTATATTGTTTCTCTGCGGATGGAAACGACTAGGTTTGAAGAAGCCAGGAGGTGGACAGGGATGAATTCGTAAACTAAAGCTGGAGAATTCCTTGCCTGAAAAGGAAAAAAAAATAAAGGCTTTAGTTGATGAATTGGTCAATAGCAGTTAGTTTTACACGTGCTCTTTTTTTAAATCAACTTGTTGATCAACAGGGCATTGCTTTAGGCGACCAGGAATTTGTTAGGGTTAGATACAGCCCATTATGCCATCAAACTAACAATCATACAAACCTGGTGGCCTTAAAAGTAGCACAGGGCGAAGCCGATTGCCATGTAAACAGGAATAAAGCAATGTTCCAACTTCAGGAGAAGCAGAGAGGTGCTGAGCCAGTCCTGCTAGATACAGAGCTCGTTTCCTTGGATACCTTTGATTCAAGGCATCCTTTTCTTGGAGAACATCCTAGAGGTTCAATGGCTTTTTTAGTTTTGGTCCTACTATACAAATTGAATTATGATACCAGACAAGACTGAACTTACAGATGGAATTATAACAACCATGTCAATCATGACATGTGGTTTAGTACAAGTGCCCAGTGGGTAGCTGCCAATGAGACCAACAGAAGATGGAGGTTCCATGTGAAATTTGCCTTTGGTTGTTTGAGGAACAAGAAGAAAGGGAACCTTAACAGTTCCATTCAACCACGACAGATCAGTCATCTGAAATATAAAACATACATTTCATGATAAAATACTGCAATCTATTCTAAAAGGTTTCAAAAAGTAACTGCATTCTCAACATAATCGGATTCAAGAGGAACAACAACGAAATACAGTTAGTTATATTATGTATTTAGTATCAACATACCTCAACTTTTTCAAATTTTGGCACAGATTGGAGCAGTCTTGTGACTGTCTGAACAAATGAATCAATTTGCTGCTTCTTTCGTTCACTTAATAAAACTTCCTTTAAAAGCTCTTCCATCTGGGGATTGAGATTACAGAAAGAAAATCATACTACAGAAAACCATAACAAACTAGAGACAGTGTTGAAATGCATTCACTCAGTTACCTGCATTTTAAGTAAACTACAATGAAACAGGCTCTCTGCCTCTTTCAGTTGGTTAAGTTCTTCTGCAGTTGGTGGTCTGTACAGGTCACTTCTAGACATCTTTACAGGATGATATTTCATCTCCTCGCCAGGAGCAGCATCATCAACATCAGAGGCACATCGTTTGGTCTTTGTTAGAACATCGTCTTCACTCTTTTCATTTCGGATTGAAGTAATCCTCTATGAATATCAAGTTATGAATTAATATGAAAACATACATTGCATATATTGAAACTCTATTTATTCAAGTACATAATCAATATAACGAAGCAGTAAGATGTTATAAAAGCAAAATGTAAAAAATAAATAAACATGCAATCAAGCATATAGCAAAACAACATCGTGAACGCTCTTCTATCTATTTTAAGTTCCATGCTGTTAAAAGGTATTTTATTAGTCAGGTAATGCTCCTTTAATAATAAGCTGTTGCTGGTTACCTGAGGCAGTCAAGACTTCGGTGCGGCTTCATTTTATAAATAAGATCCATCATAGTTCATGACTTCTTACCTCGTTTGAATGGTTCACACTTTTCTGTTTCTTCTTCATGGTTTTATCCGTTTCATTTGCGTGAATGATCATAGTTTAAAGCTGTTTCATTTAGCTCTACTGCTCATCATGGATCTGGGCACAGGGCACATGCGGAGAGGATCACAGAAACTTGCTATTACACATTCGAACACCCAATTGGTTGGAAAGTGTAAACTACACGTGATTGGCTAACGTGATTTGTCTTTAGTCAAGTTTGTATGCATTGCAAATATCACAAACTGTACAAAATTCCATTGCATGGATACAGACAAGTTTAGAACAGGGAACTTCAAGATTCAAGATGCAGAGGAACTTGTTTTTAAATCAAAATGAGAAATTCTCTAATTTCACACGACGCCTGTTCTACACGACTGTATATATTACAGCACTGTTCTACAACAGTGATTCTGATTGGCAGACTGTTGCTCAGCAACCGTCAGGCATATAGAACGTAACGTTACTTTTTCAGGTGGTTTCTATGGACGCTCAGATAATCCTCTGCTAAACGATTTGCAGCTAGCGCGTTACCTTTGTTTGTGAAAAGATAAGTATCCTATAACCTTTTCACATAATAGAAAAGGCGTAGCTCGTATTGGAGTAGTTATTTTAATGTTAATCTGTCTGCGATGAAGTATTTGAGCAACAGTGTAGCTAATGTAGGGGACTAACATTAGCGGCTAGCTGCTGGAAAAATACAATACGTCGTGCCTCAACTCTGTTCTTATCCGACTCTTTTTGACATAACGTCATAGAGTAGTGTACATATAACTACGCATACTTAGTGAACGCATACGTTTGCCTGATGTATCACAAAGAAAAGAGCATCCAAATAAAAAACAGCGCTTCTGCGCTGTACAATAATCTCAGTGTGCTGCGCATTGCTCCACGAAAGCTAACCTACTTCACAGTGGTCCATGCAAATGTGGTGAATATGGTGAGTGCATCCTGGGACGGACTAAATTATTCCCACCGTCAGCTACAGTCCAAGGAACCCAATGTGGCTACAAGCACATCTCTCATAATGCAGGTTTGATTCATTTAAAATACTTGTTTTTGCACAATTATTATTATACCTATTTATACCGTGTTTTCATTAATATGTTTGTCGTCTCTATTTATTATATTCATTACAGGCCTCATTCTGTGTTTTGCCATCTCGTGAATTGCTTGTGGTAACCTCCCAGAAAGGCATTCAGGTAATGGCGTAATTCATTTAACTTCCTTACGTTGACTTTGACTTTCTATTATTTGGCTCTGTTACTGCAGATGTATGAGTCAGACGGGTCAATAATGGTTTACTGGCATGCTCTTGACTTGCCTGAAACACCCACCAGTAAGCATCAAGCTTATGCTCATACATTATACAATATAACTGAAGAAGTGTAACACAATCTTTTTTTTGAAGCCCAAGCAGTGTTTGCTAGAGGAATATCAGCAGTATGGGATAATTACATATGTGTCGGTAAGTAATCAAATAGAAACACCCTGTTATAGTTTGAGATTGATGATTGTGGCACTGTGAATGTTGGTTGATTTATAATACTTCTGATGAGTGAGTAAGTTCCTTTTTATCCACTTGTCAACATTAACAAGTTATTAGGTTAGGTTTTGCATTGAGTTCTCCTGTGATTGCATGGCTGCCTCCTCTTTTTTCACTGCTGAAATCTGGATTGATACAATTTAAGTGAAAATGTTGTCTAATTCAAACATTACAATTTAGTCATAGTTATTGAAACTGATACTGTGTAAGTTTAGATATACACAATATCTTAACACAACATGGCTTTCTAGGTGTGTCATCAGGATCTATCTTAGTATTTGACATTCCAAGTAAAGGCAGTAACATCACATTATCAGAGGTCCTGGAAGAGCATAAGGATTCCATCACTGACATGGCTTCAGAGTGCTCTGGTAGCCAGGTAAGTCTCAAGTCAAAAGACAATTTATTTTTTAACCACAAATATTGAACCAACAAAAATCTTTTGTTTTTTCCAACAGGAGTGCATAGCCGACATGGTCAGCGCTGATGACGTGGGCAGTATGTGTGTATGGAAAGCTGGCGAGGAGTTTCACTTACTAAACAAGATATCTGGTTTTGAGTATGTTTATTTCATCAGAGGTCGTAGATAAGGCTACACGTTTCATTGGTTTTATTTTTTTTACCTGTGGATTGCTTATTGCCGTCTTCTGTCATATAAAAACACAAATTCATATACTGTTGATGGCAACTGGTGTTATGAGAGTAAATTGTCAGTAGAGACTGACAATGTGTTATATTTTAGGGTGTATGTTATCAGCAGCATTTCATTGTGTAATTTAGTTTCATATGGTTTATAGTTTGTTTGACAAGAACATGAAGTAATTTCCTCCTTATTATTTACTTATTTATTTATTGACTATTCCTATATTGATCTGTATATTAGTGCCATGAATGTAGTGCTTCCTGTCCTTTTCTTAAGCTCCAGTGTCCGTCTTTCCAGTATGACCTGCTCATCAGTCAAGTTGTGGAAGGGCACAGTCGCTGCTGGTTATGGCACAGGCCAAATCCGTTTATATGAGGCTGTGACTGGAATTTTACATGTGGAAATCAATGCTCATGCTCGCTGGATTAACTCACTGGACATTGCTCCGTTTTCTGGTTTAGTAAGTTTATATATAAAAATATAACATGTATGTATGTATATATGTATATGTATATATATATATATATATATATATATATATATATATATATATATAAAACTGACACTGAAATAATTTACTCATTGATTGTTCTCTATGCTATATAGCTTTTGTCTGCTGCTGAAGATTCTCTGGTGCGAGTGTGGCACATGTCTCTAACTCCTGAAACCAACAGTGTCGAGGTAATCTTGTTTCAAAAAGTGATTTCTAATTTGTAGGAGTGTTAAAGGCACCCTGTCCTTTTGTTCAGGTGGCTCATTTGCATAATGAGTGTGTGACAGACACACAGATCTGTGGTGCCCGCTTCTGTGATGACGATGGTTTCGCATTTGCCGTGACAGGCTACGATCTGAGTGAGATTATTCGCTACACACAAACATAAAAAGAGCTGTTGTGACTGTTACATCTTTGTTACATATATTACTGTTTTAAAAGCAAAGTAAACGTCGTACCATTTACATTTGTACAGTTTTGTAAAATATATTGTTGTATTATGTCTACTTGTATATAAATAGAGTGAATAAAAATACAGCTTTTTTAATAACAATCAATAAAAAAATCCTCTATGAAGACAGAGGCTTTTTTCAAAAAATTGTTATTGTGTAGATGATAGAATGTTTAAAAATGTTGGAACTTTTATAGTATCAATACAATTAATGTAATGTACTGGAAAGAATTGTGTTGTTTTTCATAGCTGCAGTGAAGTGTCCTTCTATTTTAACGCCACTAGATGGCGATGCAAAACTTACTTGAATTTCAAGGTCGGTGCACATGGGGTCATGGAGGTTCCTGCTTGATGATTTTTAAAAATAGATATGGATGTGATTTTTAGTACATTAATAATAAATGAGACATATTTCCTGTATTATAAAATATAGGCATGAATTCAGAAGGAAAAAAAACTACAGTTAATTTGAGAAGTAAGTTGCAAGAGTTCTGCAGCTAAAATTGTACTCCTGCATCCACTTTCATTTGCACACTGGGCAAACGAGGTCAGGGAGGTGTCTTGTTTATCAGCGTAGGGCTAAGTATTAAATCCCTTGGACCTGAGCTTTGCTGGTTTGCAGTCAACACTGATCACATAACATCATCTGACAGGGCTGTTTTGAGCTCACACACATGACAGGTTACGTCATACAATTTCGGTAGATACTGTTTTGCCCATATATGACATGGCAAAGATTAAGGCTCCTTTCAACTAATTTTCCAGTTTCATGATTTTTATGGTGCCAAGCAATGCACAATGAGAAAGTTCAAAGATTAAGATAGAGAGATCCTTTTATTCGTCCCACTCCGGGGAAATTTCAGCAGTACACTGTTTAACATACCTGTCACCTGCTTGTCATCATCTGAAGTTGGATTTACCTGCTCCTCGGTATGGCACCCTGCATACTTAAGAGGCCAACTGTAATTGCATTATTCAGCATGTGTTTTTGTCCCCAAATGTTCTCCACACAGGACCTGCAATTTGTGTGGTGTGGTTCACTCTCTGAAAAGCATTTTATATCCTTGAATAGATTAGGGAATTTCTCCTAAGTCTCAATATCTATATGGTTTGTTCCCTTAGATAATAAATAAACCATAGATTTACCAACCAAACGGAAAAAGTCTTGTCATTGCCAGGGATAGAACAATATATATAAAAGGGAGTGTCTACTAAATCCAATCATGTTTAGAAAGCCCAGTGAGCAGCCGGTAGAAGGCAGACAGACCGGAAAGTACAGATATTTAAATATTGTGTGGTTGGGTGTGCATGCTACTGTTGCATTGGGTGTGTTTCGATAATGACAAAGAATCCTGAATGTGAACATTTTTTATCCATGATACCTCATCGAAACCAGTGTGTCTTTGTCCAACATGATCTACACATTTGTTGGTTTAACGTACAATCATCAACTAAAAACAAATTGAAAGACAAGACCCTTTTTAAATTTAGATCACATATCCATAGGGTAGAATGGAATTTAGTTGCATTAAAACACAATCCACTGTTCTTTGAGTTTTTACCAATCTGTGGCATGGATGTTAACTGCACACAGTAGATTATTTGTTTCAAGTTGGACATACCAAATTATACTTTACAGAAAATGATAAATTACAAAGGATTATATTGAATTTCCATCAAGTTAATTTATTCAACTTAGATTCATAATGGGGAGTCAACTTAACACATGTTTGGCCATAAAGTTATGTAAATGTGAAAAGTATATAAACGGAAGCTACATATTTCTGTCAATACTATAATATACTTTTTAATACACTTAGAATGTTGTCTGAAGGCTATAACCTTTTCTATATACAATATAGTTTTGTGATTTCCTTACAAAATAAAGCTGTACATGTTTTGTCAATTCACAATGCTGTTGCAAGAATGGTTTACATGATTCATGATAGTATAGGTTCTTGGGGGCTCGTGGTCTTCCATGGTACCCAGACATAGTTATTATTCACAGTGCCATCGTCTCATTGGGGGATTGGGATTTAGGGGAATTAGTGTAAAATAAACACAATCAGACCCCACCATCTGCATGGCACGGTTGCTTAGCATCCATCTACTGTTTGTACTGTTTGACGTGGATGTGCTGACGCGATTTACTCTAGCTATACGCACAGATGGCTCCGCTCAAGTGGATGGATGCTGTTAGATCAATGCTGACCTTATTTTCATTTTTGTTAAAATACTGTGAAGTAATGTCTTTTTGCAATCTGTGTTTTTCTTCCGAGAGTTCTGACCTTTCAGGGGAAAAGGGAAATATATATCAATCTGCAAGAATTCTGATACAGGATAGAGCCAGGGCTAAACCTTCAACTAAAAACATGTACTTTCTGGGGCCAGGACTCCCATGAAAAAGATATTCTTAAATCTCCGTAGTACTTTCCTGGTTAAAACTATCAATAAATAAACCTTTGAGGCACATTTTATGTCATTAGGCAGTGTTCCATTTATTTGGAGAAAACTGATTCTAGTGTTTTCTAATTTTGCTTTTTCTTCTTGATCTCCAGAGCGAACATAAGTGAAAATGAATAGTGAGTTCACATGAGTCGACGGCAAAAATACATTCCACAGCTGTCCTGTCAGTCAACAAGTGATATTCTTGGTTTCATATGGTTTTGTTTATCTTGTAGCCTGCTAACACCAGACTAAGTATGCAGTTCTAATGATTTGAGCGCACACAGCAGTATGGGTATTCCCAGGCTAGCTATTGATTAATTTATTTATTAATCTCCCCCCAGACTCATTTAGTAGAGTCTGCAGGAAATTGTGATTAGATTTTAAATAACATTGATGAACATTCTTGCTGCTCAAAAACCTTAGTTCATATTTTATTTTTTACCTGAAACTTTATATCTGGCACCCTGACAGCAGGGCAGCACCCCGTAATGATAGCCCAAACAAAGTAGTTAATGGAGCAGAAGTTTAAACATTGCCATCTGCTCTTTGGACCTTTGGAAGGGTAGTGGCCTGAACATCTCCTGGGTCACATGAAACATAACACTGACCTCACAAAACAACAAAAAGGGGACCGTCTTGTCGGGGCAGAAAGAGTTAATATGCCCATCTTTGTTTCCATGGTGAGCCGGGTGTGCTGTTGGCGTGGTGACGCCAGTGAGGAGTGCTGACAAGAACCATACGTGCCAATGCCCAGCTGACTGCGGCATACGCCACAGCCTATTCATAGCACCTCAGTGACGCCCAGTGGGACACGGTCTCACCCAGACGGAGAAATCTGTCAAGTATTCGGAATGAGAATGATGAGTTCCATAAAGAGTCAACAAAAACACACCTGCAGTTTTGTGTCATCACCACAATCACCATCATCATTATCATCATAAAGAGTTCAGAGAGACATGTAAAATTAGTGCAAGACTTAGGCACGTTCATACATGTTAGTTTGGTTTGATGCTCGTGTTTTTTTTAAATTTGAGCGATCATGAGTCCAGTAGTCACTTACATCACTTACAGCATTTGAACCAGACTTGGTCCAGTTAAAGTGAACTAAACCAACAAGTGCAAATGCTCTTAATCACATTGAAAAAGTGAACACATACACACACACACACACACACACACACACAGAAAATAGGTAAAACCATGGAAAACATGACGCTGAGCACAGATAAAACCAGCAGAGGAAGTGTAAGTAAGTAAGTTATCTTTATTTATATACTGCAGACCAGAGTCACAAAGTGGTTACAAATTGTTATTCTTGGGCATTTGTCCTCTCACTCCACACAGAGATAGGAGCGGGGTCGCCAGTACAGGAGGCGCATGCCAGACCTATTGTACATGTTTTTAGTGGTAGGGGAAACCAGAGTGCCCGGAGGAAACATGCAAACTCCACTCAGAAAGGCCCTGGTCCGACCGGGATTCGAACTCAGGACATTCTTGCTGAGAGGCAAGCCACCGTGCCATCTCAGGAGCCATTTGCACCAGGAGCAGAGAGCCGACTGGAGCTACAGGGACTAAAGGTAACTTTGTATTCCAATGTGAGTAAAGACCGAGTGAGAGTAAATCAGTATGTACATGAATGAATTATTTATAGGCTAAAACTTGACAATATAAAACAAGCAGCCTGAAGGTCAACTGCAAAATCATGTTTAGAGCATTTTTCATTCAGAACAGCAAGGCCTGCTGTCTAATCCTAATCCAACTTCCATTCCCAGGTGCCATCATTATGTTGCCAGTTATGGACAAGGTGAAGAGATAAGATAAGATGTGCTTTATTTATCTCACATAGGAGAAATTTACATGTCACGTTTGGCATGGATAGAACACTCAGATTGTGCAAAAGGAGGAAATGTGCAAACATGTTACATGCAGGATATATACGTACAATAAAAGTGGCAATTTAAAGTGGCAGTCAGATATAGTGTCAATAGTAGTAGTGCAGGTTTTATTTTTTTTTCAGTCTTATACAGTGACTTAAAGTGACTTATTGTACAGTCTGACAGCGGTGGGGATAAAGGCCCCGCGGTACATCAGTATCTATGTGAAGACTGAATTATGCTTCTTACCTTTCCACAGGTTAGAGGCATTGCATTGCAAGGAAAAGAGCACTAGTAACATAATAGTTTACCCTTCTTCTTATATTCTTCCTTGTTTGATGTATGCTTTGAAGAGTGAACTAAGGATTTCGATCTTTGCGAAAGACAACGCCAGAATACCACATGTATGATTTAAGATTGTAACGGTAATCTGTAATGCATTACACCTGCTGATCGCACCCATTGCACTGCCCATATTGTGTATGTCTGTGTGACTTTTGTATCTTTTGTTTTACAAGTTAAAAAAAAAACAATGCTGTCTGCTTTGTTTGTTTGTGTAAAATCAGCTGATCTGGGCCGTTCACTTCCCCTGAGTTCAGCATTCTGGCCCTTCAG